GTAAACTGAGTGGATCGTGTCCACTAGCAGGCTCTGATGCTGATATGCTCAACTACGAGTAGAATAGTGTTGTTCTTAGTTGCTGCACAACGAATCAAACAAAAATAAAATTTGAGGGAAAGAAAGTTGTCTTCTAATTTATTTGAACTCGTAGTGAGGGATAACACTGTCTCATATTAGGGCTCGGGTGTGTCGTTCCCAAGCTAGGATCTCCAGAGGAAAAAGAATGGTAAGTAAAGTAAAATTAAAAGTAATAAATGGGCAAAGTAAGTACCAAATAAATTTAATGTTTTAATTAAATTTGAATTTGGCACAATTAATAATTGTGAGTCAGTATCTCCCTTTCTAGTAAAATAAGATAAAGTGGTAAGAAGTGAGAAAAGGGAGGAATAAGAGAGAGAAAGAGACCAACAGGTGTATTAGTTTAGATGTTTAAAGGGTTAAATCACTTTATCGTTGCCCAAACAGACACTGAATTCAACCACTGGATGTTAATGCTAACTGCTAACCTTTGAGGCTACAGGCTTTAACATAGACTTCAATGTAAACAACTGTTTCGTTTGCTTGGCCACACCGTAGGGGTTTACCAATAGCGTCGCTGTGCTGCGCGTGCGCAGTTCAGAGTTGCATCGGAAGTAGGTTCAGACTTCCATGTCACGATTGTAACTATGGCAACTAAATCAAGCTCTAGTGGCTAAGCATGTGAATAGTTGCATTGCAAGTACAGTTAAGCATATTACATGAAATGTTGGCGCATTTCAACACTGTACAAATAACAACACCGCTTTTGGTTGGTTTTGCAATGTGGCGCTTAAACTCTCAGTTCGTTCGGAGTTAAATTTAACTTTCAAATACCAGCTTCGTGCTGCAGTTAGGGGAAACAGTGATAACAATCTCAGCAGATCTTTAAATCTCCGTGCCAGTTTCTGTGGACATGTAAACACAACAGGTTTTCTTCGCTGTTGGTGCAAAGTTAATATTCACTTACACGCAGTGTTAAGCAAGATTAAATTTTCTTTGTGAACAGACACAGGCAGGCAAGCATTATTCTCGTAATGTTTAACCCAGGGAGTCAACTAGCATGGCATGACAATAGAACCCGCACTGGCATATCAAACTATGAATAATAAGGCTTTGATAAATAGATTGAGGAACACGCTCAAAACTATTCTTTATACACCGATTTCCCTTTTAACTACTGTAGTTTAGCTCCGTTCAGCTAATGGTGACTGAGATTCAGGGAGAATAGCGATTGAAAAACACTGGAACACGCAATGAAATCAATTCAGCTATAAAACAAGGCATTACAAGATTGAGGAACACGCTCAACTTCTACCTTATTGTACAATCTCAGATGTTAACTTCAAGTTACACTTACTGCAGTTTAACAATGAAGAGTCGGACTCTAGTTAAGCCTTCTCTGCATTCATTCATTCAAGCCTAGGAAAGGGATTTTGATAGTAAAAGATGCCTGTTCTGCTACTATGTATGCTCAGAATGAGAAAATTCCAGCTGTGTTGGGTATGAATATTATTCGAGAGTGTTATGTTAACTTATTTAATGAACATGGTGCTGAGCTTTTTCAGATTCCCCGAATACGATCAGCTACCCCAGCATGGAAACAGGCATGCCGCTGTTGTCAAAAAATTGAAGCTGTTTCAAGTTCTTCTGTATTTAAGGTGAGCGTGCAGGGTAAAACTCCCATTCGTGTTGCTGCATGTACCATGACTATGGTTCCTGTTACCTGTCCCCACGTTTCAGATGCAGCGATATAATTTCTTTTAGAACTGCTGGGGCCAGAGGAAAACGCCCTTCCAGAAGGTTTCCTGCTGTCTCTTTGGTATATGCAGAGAGGGGGTTAGTGTATGCGCCCATTGTTAATGTAGGGAGTACGGAGGTATGGGTGGCACCCCGGCGTATTATAGGTACAGTCCATTATAGGTTCAGTCAATTGTCTGAAAAATTATTTTAGCTTTTCCACATCAGCCCAAACCCATGCCTCATCCTCCTCATCCGAATCAACTATTTGCAACGTTCGGAAAGATTTTGGTTGTGACAGAAATACAGACAGAGAGTGTTTTCTAACAAGAATAAAACGTCAGGTCCGACAATATCGTATCTTTTTTTTATTTAAATCTAGATTTATTCACATTGGCCCATGGAAACCTCTATGAACACACTTGACTTGACTAAAAAAGTGCGGGGACGAATTTACATTTTATTAAAAAGTCTTTACGTATTCTACACTCATGGCGTACACACACATTAGGATAGGTTAGATGTCTGCCTCCGTTGCGAGTCCCTATCAAGCACTTTACCGATTCAACTACTCTCCTCTCCTCCTCCTGCCTGGCTCTATGGCCAGCATCACTCACAGCAAGCCTGTTCTTGATAAATCTGCTGTGAAAACGTGGGAAAAGCCGACGAGGAAGGCGTTGGAGTGAAGCGATCTTTATATAGGCGGAGCAAAATACTTAATCGCTCCGTCTATAGCGCATTGTGATTGGATGGTTTACGCTGTCTATACAGGAGACAATCCAATGGGCCACTGGCTGCTCGCTGTCCCTGCGTGATGGTCCTTGGCAAAAAAATAATATATATATATTTTGTCGGCCCCTTAAGTGCGTCGGCCCACTGGGAAAATGCCAGGTATGCCCGATTACCAATCCAGCCCTGCGCGCAATGGAGGACCAGTTTACTTGATTAACAGCGTGCATCGTTTTACGGTCATGAAAAAAATTGAAAAGTCATGAGATTTTAAAACAGCCATTTCAAGGTCTGGAAAAGTTTTGGAAAAGTCATGGATTTTTTTCCTTAAATCTCTGTATAATAGAATTATGTTTAATCTGCTTTCGAGTTTATAATGAGGGAAATTCCTGCAAACATATTCAATAGAGCATGTAGGTTAGATGAGTAAATAAATCCAAACATACGATCAGATTAAAGCAGTCATTTGAAAACAGCGTTAGTGATTCAGCTGTACCGCGTCTTCTTTCACTCTCAAAGCGGCTTCACAACAGCGCATCTTGTCTGCACGCTGCGATACAAGACCTTTGCTCGGGTTTCGGGACAGTCGACAGAATTGTCTCATTGAGTCATTGTTGCATCGTCACAAAACTGTATCATTTGCACATCTTTTTAAGTTTAAGCCATTCGATGATCGCGTGCTCCAAATGGGGTTTCCTATGCGCTCACAGTCACATCCATAGCGCGCATATCGCGCCGCCTTGCAAGTACCAAATTGAGTTATTTTTCGCAGCTTGTTGCGCTTACGCGACCAAATACACACAAAAAATGACGTCAAAATGGCCATTCTGGTGATTATCCTAGTAAGCACAATCGGTTAATTTTTAATTGTCTCCCCACCCTAGCACCATTTTGGAG